GGGAAGAAAGGTTCTCGAGTGGCAGCCTCGTACCGGTAGGCGAAGTGTAGGGCGACCCCCCACGAGATGGAGTGACGACCTGGTAAGGCACGCAGGAAGTCGATGGATGTAGGTGGCTCAGCACCGTGCTTTGTGACATTCCTTGGGGGAGGTCTATGTTCAGCAGTGGACTTATTTAAGTATATTTATACATAAATCGTGTTTAAAAAAAAAGTTATCGTGTTTACCCCTACTTATAAGCTACTAAAACCACTGTTTTATGTAAAAATAGCAATTAATCGATTTCAAAAAAAATTATAAGTTCAACAATCATTTATCTTTCTGATAATGTGCTATATATATCATTTACATAATAACATATAACATAAACACTCACGCCTGTCACCCAGAGGGGTAGGCAGAGATTATGGACTTCCATTTGGCACGATCCTGACACACCTCTCTCGCTTCCTCCACATCCATATACCTACGCATACACGCTCGTCGGTTAAAGGTACTCTTGATTTGGCCCATTTTTAATATATCGCCAATTTGGTCGATAAACTTTCGCCTAGGGCGACCCTTCCCGACTATGCCGTTCACCTCTGCAACATAAATTTGCTTTGTCACTCTTTCCTCATTCATTCTTTCTACATGGCCAAACCACCGAAGCATTCCTTTCTTAATCCTGGTCACAACATCATCTTGCAAACCACACTCTTCTCTTATTAAACAATTTCTCACTCTGTCATTCAGCTTCATCCCTAACATACTCCTTAATGACCGCATTTCTACAGCATTTATTCTACTCTCATGCTTCTTCTGCCACACCCAACTTTCACTACCATACATTAAAGTAGGTACTAACACAGCATTGTGAATTGCCATACGTGCCTTTTTGGACACATTCTGACTTTTCACAATAGAGTGTAGAGCCCCATTCACTCTATTTCCTGCATTCACTCGTCGTTCTATATCCTTATCATATCTACCATCCCTGCTAAACACACATCCCAAATATACAAACTCATCTACTTGCTCTACCAACTCCCCTTCTATTCTTATTTCACATATCGTTTTACTTTCTTCTCTTTCAAAAACCATAACTTTCGTCTTACTTGCGTTCACTTTCATTCCCTTTTCTTTTAATGTCCTGTTCATTAATGTAACCATCATTTGCAACTCGGCTGCCGACGACGCAAGTATGACTTGATCATCGGCGTACAAAAGGCATTTGACGGTTAACTCACCCATTCTTAACCCGCATTCTTCTACTTTCAAATTTTCCAAACAACTGTCCATAAACAGGTTGAACAACCACGGGGAAGCCACACAGCCCTGTCTGACACCTTTATGGATGTCAAACCAGTCCGAGTAGGCCCCGTTGATCCTGACACAAGCACTAGAGTCCCTATATAGAGACTTCAATGCCTGTATCAGACCAGCGCTCAACCCAAATGAGTTCAGTGTTTGCCATAACACATCCCTGTCCACTCTGTCATAAGCCTTCTCCAAGTCCATGAACGCACAAAAAACTTTTTGGTTTTTGGCCAAAAACTTCTCGGCGATCATGCGCATGGAAAAGACCTGATCCGTACATCCCATTCCCTTTCTAAATCCCGCTTGCACATCCCAAATTTTTCCGTCAGTTTCTTTCATAACTCTTTCAATTAGTACCTTAGCATACAGTTTTCCCACAATGCTAAGAAGGCTGATACCACGGTAGTTTTTACAGTCCTGCTGTGATCCTTTTCCCTTATATATTGGGACTATCACGGCTTTGCACCAGTCTCCCGGTACCCGCTTAAGTTCCCAACATAAATTAAACAAGGTGTACAGCAGGTCTGCCACCACTTCTTCTCCAGCCCTTAGCATTTCGAGAGATACTCTATCATAACCAGCTGCCTTACCTACTTTCATACTTTTCATTGCTTTCATTATTTCATCTATACTTATATCTCTATCTATTTCCTCTTCTTTCGGAATTTCTATTTCATTTAATTCAAACGTCTCATCACTCATAAACACGCTTTCAAAGTATTCCTTCCATCTCCTTAAACTCAAAACTTCGTCATTCAGAATACAGCCATTCTGGTCTCGTATAGCATTCATTCTAGGCTGTTGTGAATGTCCCCTGGTAGTTCTTACGAGTTTCCAGAACATTTTAATGTTTTCCTGGAAGTTATCCGATATTCTTCTATCATTCTTATCCGTTCTTTCTTGCTTTTTCCTTTCAACTACTTCTTTTACTCTCTTATTTAGGTGTCTAAAAACCGCCTTTTTCCTTTCAATATCATCATTCATACTGCTAGAATTACTAGCCTTGGTTGCTAGTAAATCTAGCCATGCTTTCTTCTTTGCTTCAACTTCCATCCGTACCTCATCATCCCACCATAACGTGTTATTTTTCCTTTCATTTGTTCTCTTGCTTACACCACATACTTCGGTAGCTGCATCCACTAAACCTTTCTTGACATTATACCACACAGTCTCCAAGTCTAAATCATTCATACACAATTCAGCCATACCACTTATATTTTCTCTCAATCTACATTTGAACTTCTCTTTCACACCTTCATCTTGTAGCCTCTCTGTTTTTATACGCTGTAACGCTGTGGTAGACACAGATGTCCGATGCCTCCAACGTCTGAAAAGACCATTAATTCGGCATAAGACCAAGTAATGATCCGTCCCTACGTTAGAGCCCCGGTAAACCCTTGTATCTACCACCGCGCTCCTCATTCTTTCATCAACAATTATGAAATCTATCATACTTCTATCATCACCTCTTTCCCATGTATACGTGTGAATCTTCTTATGACGAAACAAAGTGTTCGTCACAACAAGATTCTTTTCCACGCATACGGCGAGAAGGCTTTCACCATTCTCATTTATACTTTCATCACCAAACGTTCCCAATATCCTTTCATAACCAAGCCTCCTCACCCCAACCCTTCCATTAAAATCGCCTAATATCACAATATTTTCATTAACCTTGCATTTCATTAGCACCATCCTTACCAACTCCCAAAACTGCTCTCGGATATAAGTGGGCTTAGACATGTCTGGGGCGTAGACCCCTAAAACAAACAACTTCTTTAAGCCCACTTTCATTCGTATCCATAGCAGTCTCGGGCTTACACATTCATACTCTTTTACACAATGACCCATTCTTTCTGAAAGGATGATACCGACTCCCTGGCATGCCCGCTCGGTCTCGTCTACACCAGACCAGTACGCGGTATACATGCCATGTGTAGTGGCATCCTTTCCCTTCCGTTTCGTCTCATTCACACATAACACGTCTATTCCTCTATCATACATCATATCGCATACTTCATCCATCTTATCATTCATTCCTCCACATACGTTCAATGTAGCCAAACGGGCTTCCGCAATCCACTTTTCGCCCCTCCGGGAGACAGAACGTGACGGGTGGCGAACCTCGTCGCCGGTTTTCCTCCCGGAGATTCTTCGCACCCCTGCCCCATTAAAGGGGCGCCGGGAACTCGGGGCCATTTCTTTAATATTTTGCCTCATGGTGCGAAAGTAAGTTGTGGTATTTTTTTTTTACGCCGCTACCACACGGCGAGGAGCCGAGTCAGTTCTTTCGGCTTTGTCGCTCGTTTAGCACCACCCGGGGGACACGTGTAGGGTGGGCCTAGGATTAGGTGGTCGAAGCCTACGGACGCGAGCGACTCATCCCCATCATTTACATATATGTACAATATAATTGTTAGGTACTATTTCATGCGACAAAACGTTGGAATCTTAATTTTTAGGCGCTAGTAGAACATTAGGTATGTTTTCCATTCCTGCTTCGCGCTGTAATGCATGCAAAAATTAAATTAACATGGAAATCAAATTCCGTAGATTTCAATTCAAATTCCGTAGTTCCGTAGACGATGAAAAAATTCCGTAGATCTAGGGAAAAATCCGAAGAGTTGGCAATGCTGCTGCGGTTCGACTCAATAGTGGGCGGAGCGTCCGTGTCGGCCACGGTGGGCGAGGCGTTACTCACAGTTTTGCTCAACTGTCGCAGTAGACTCAACTATGATGTCTATTGCGATATTGTCACACTGAATTGAAAATACAATTAGAAACACGATGTTTGTTTCTCAAATAATTTAAGCACATATTATTAGCTTTTACTATTTTATAGCTCTCGCTCGGTGAGCGCTTGCGAAAAATTTCACAATTATATAAATAATCTCGTTGTGTTTTACCAATAATACTTTTTTATTTTTAACTTAATATTTTTTCCCATCAAGATGTTATAGCATTAATTAGCTAAGATCTGTGAAATTTTTTAACATCTTTATTATAATGGATTTCCGCAAAGTAGCGCCTGATCGTATTAACTATTTTTTGATTGTCTACCAACGTAAGTCAGCTTCGACGTTTCCAGTTTAGACGGTTCTTAAAAAAAATACAGACGGTCTTTAACACGTTCTACGGAAAAACAAGCACCGCTTAACGCTGGGTTATTGAGGTCAATAGCATAAACGTCTGACTAAAAGCAAGTCAGCTAGTGCTGTGTCAGTCCAATTTGACGATTTAGTGTTGACCCGAACTAAAAGCGAACGCCTATTTCTCAAGTCATTGTTATTCCCTCTCAAGCAGCGTTTTCTGCGCCAGTGGCAGTGGCACTGACCTTATCTAAGCAGATGTCAGTGCTGTCTATTATTAGGAAGACGTTTATTTATGAATTTTAATCATCACAACATATTCAACTACTTCTAATGTCACCTGACAGAAGAAGCTGCGAAATTACGAAAGGACTAATCATCTGGCAAGCGAGACAATTATACCCAAGCCTTTTCATTTTGGCAGATCATATTGTTAAGAAGTGCACTTATTACGAACTGATGATGATGATGATGATATCGTAGTAGTTGGTTTACATTGTATACACATACATTGTATTTTAAGAACAAATGGATTAGAACAAAATTATTTTATTAGATGAATTCCTGATCTTAGTGAGATATTACTTTCAGTGTGGAATCATTGGTCACCGGTCACTTTTCAGAATATTTTCTTCGCAGAGTAAACGGAGAAATGTTTTTTCTTGTTGTATTAGAAGCTCTATCAGCTTTCGTAGGTAATTTAAGTTCGACTACGTCCTCGTACGTATGCAGTTGCATGATTTCGTTATACTTATCAAACTTATTTCGAACTTGATTATTAGCCGGGCGAGGTAGCTGCAATGCCTTATTTTTTATTTGATCGACAGAAATACTCATTATAAGTCGATTATTTGTTTTAGGGGAAGAATAGGACACACTTTTATTTACTTTTCCTTTTCCTGCTTTAATCATTGCACATTTCGAATATTTTTGTACATTATTTTCCTTTATGTTAGACGGTGTTGATTTTTTAAAGTTATCATGCATTTTATCCTTTAATTTTACTTGTGTCGTATCTAATTTACTTTTCTTGGATTCTCCTGTTGCAATTGACGACAAAGTTTTTGATTTTACACTTTTTGGTATTTTTTTCTTGCAATACCAAACCCATTTATCATCTTTATCAATATAGCCGTCTACACCGATCTTTAAATTACGGCCAGTGTTATCAGTAAAAACACCATCTTCGGCTGAATAGAACATACCGTCAGGACCTATGAAATTCATAGGGACCCACCTGTTGTCGGGACCTATATAACCGTCTTTATTAATTTCTAACCAAACATGTTTTGGGCCCCAAAATCCACCAAGATCACTGCATTCCTGTTGCCCATCAGGACCTTTAAAATATCTAGGAACAGGATTACCGGATTTATCGAATAATTTGACTTTGAAATCCAAATAATTATATTGACACTCATTCTCTGATAAAACTGGCGGGTGTTTAACTTTAGTATCCCAACGAGCCAAAGGGGGAGTAAATTCAATAATCCAATCATCATTGTCAGTATCACTACTTGAAATATTGTCTTCATCTGAACAAGAACAAGAGTCTATAGGAGGACTTAAGTCTTTTACTGAATCGGTATGGCATGGACAATCGGGATTATTAGGATCTGGCAAAGGCAATAAGCCAATAGCTTGGTTGTAAGCTTTTAAGCAAATTTCTTGGCACTTATTTCGAAATGTAGATTGTAGAAGCCGACACTTTCTTCGTGTTTCCCTTCGTTCTATACGTTCTTTCTTTTTCTGAATCTTAGCTTTTTCCTCTGCAGTTTTTCCAATGGTGTAAATAAGAGGTGGTTTTTCATCGTAAGGATATTGAAAAACCAGGCGATCTTTAGAGTATTTCTTAAACACTTCCATTTGAACTGTGTATTCGCCATTGTGCTTTTTCACCACTAATGTCGGCTTCATTTCCAACTTTTTCTTTCTTTGCATCATTGCTCTCTTTTTCTTTGCTATTATATCTACTCCCTCTCTTACTGCTTTGTATCGGCGAACTAATACCTTGTTAGCTGCACCAGGCCTCCATTTTGGTCGGACCTGTTCAAAGTATGTTATTTAGAATATCCAAAAAAATACATTGTTATATGTGCCGTGGTAGTGCAGAGGCTAAGCGCTCGCTGTAAACGAGCAACCCGGGTTCGATCCCCGCCGGCACAACAATTGTTAATTGCAATTTTAAGGGCTGCTTTATCACGTGTTTGGCGGGAAATAAAAACATAAACATTGAGAAATAATACATATTTTGAAAACATGTGAAGTCCGCCAACATGCACTGGAACAGCGCGCATTGGCGGACTTCACATAGCGGATTCCAGATAACGTTTGCTTAGAGGACTGATGCAAACAATGGTTAAAATATAGGTGTATGTACAAAAAAAGATGTGAATATAGATAAATCCAAACCCAAGTAGCACACAAGCAATATAAGCGGAAACTGTATCGCTCTCTTGATTTATAACAGTTGTTTAGGGAAGTTTGTATCTTTCTTAACTTGTATATAACAAATTCTTATATCTCTTTAAAAGCACGGTGATAAAGTAGTCGTTTAGTAGTGAGTATGATGGCTTTGGAGTTAAAAAGGGGTTTTTAGAGCGTTTGTACAGGCGTTGGATTTAAAATAGAGTTATAAATATACTTATTAACACTATGAGACCTAAAAGAAGAATAACGAATATAAAAGCGCTTCAATTGAGTTATAAATAATTCATAATTCATTTATTGCATGTCACAAAGTATAAAGTTGTTACAATATATCTACAGAGCATGTGACAACCCTGTACGGGCGTAGCATATTAAGATGGATTTTAATTGTTAATTAATATGAAATCAAATTAAATTACAATTTTTAAAGTACATAATCTATACATTATTATTAATTAATTTATTAAATATCAAACCAAATAATACACACATTTATTTAAAATGAAATGTCAATAAATATTTCATCTTAACTATTGGTCATTGTATATAACACACAAGATAATACTAAGTAGCACTTTATAGTCTACAGCTTTACAATAGACCTATGAGAATTCTTGAGAGTTATAATTGTGTATCACCAGCAACGCAAAATCAGGAATTTGCATTTAGAAAAATCCAAAATTAGGGGCTTTTTAGGTGCTAATTAGGTGCTAAGTTTAAAAATTAGGTGCTCTAAAATTTTCACCGCAACGAACTGTTGAAATTTGCGTTGCTAGCAAAACGTCTCGCTAGCAACGCAATTAAGTTATTAGATATACGATAAATATTAATAGCAAGGAATAAAAGGCTAATTAGGTGCTGCAACATTGGGCAATAACAAGGCGCCCCTAATAAAAATATAGTCGTAATTCAGAACAAAGCAGATGCAAAATTCAGGTTTTCTGAAAATCAGAATAGAATCAAAAATGCTTTTAGAAAAGGCCCAAATTAAGGGTTTTTTAAGTGCTGATTAAGTACCAAGCTTAAAAATTAGTTGCTCTAAAATTTTTACCTTCCTCAAAATTTACAAACGAACTTTAAAATGTTTCGATAGTAAAACGGTATTCAAAGTACTCTTGTAACTCAAAATAAGTAAAAATACTTCATAGTTCGGTGATTGTAGATCTTAAAGCTCTAAAATAATTATCACTATCGCTATACCCTTATAATGTATATTGTAGACGTCTAAGTCTTTTGTAAAAAGTCGCCATTACATGGCAGTATTTGATGAATTATGTATGTCAATAAAACAATCATTTTTCTTATGTTAGAGAGCATACTTTTCACTATATAAAATCCCTTTTGCACTTTATGCAATCATAAATTGACCGCAAGTTCCAATAACTCAATTGAAAGGAAGCTGAAAATTAACCTTAAAATTTTAATGCACTTGAGTAAGATAAATGACTGCAAATTCCACAGGTTTCGCGAGCGCTTGACAAATTTGACTTAATCAATACATATTTTGACAGAAAACTGATGCTCGCACTATTATTCTACGAAAACAAGTAAAATTAAATTATTATACATATCACGATCAATTGGAGGTAAAATTTATCATTTATGTTCTGTCACTAATTCTTATAATAATTATATCTAATATAGGTCTATCATGTAAAAAAATACCTGTTAAGATATTTTAAGATTTAGTTACGAGTTACAATCGCATCGCAATCGTGTGTAAATTCTATAAAGGTGGCGGCACAAGAGCTTCTTGTATATCTATAACTCCAAAAATCACATTTCACGCACCTTTGTATCGCTTTACCGCTTTATCGCAAACAAATCATGCCGCTATTGTATCGATGGTGTTGTAGCACTGAAGCCCGTATAAAGCGGGCCCTTTTAAGTGGTATAGAAACAATTGAGAAGTTCTCTATCGTTGCTGTAGCACTTACATAAGGAGGTAAAGCCATTATACATATATAACTGTTAAGCGGCTACTGTAGCGCTATGTTATACTTATACCACTTGTGTGCTACTTGGGAATGATATATAATATTATAAAGTAATTAAATACAATTTTTTTATACGAGCATACTGCTCAACTGAAGGTAAGTGACTACCCCCGCCCATGAACAACTGCAACACCAGGGGATTACAGGTGCGTTGCCGGCATTTTTAGAAAGGAGTAAGCTCTTTTCTTGAAGGTCTTCGTATCGATCCGGAAAATCGTCGTTGGTAAATTATTCCACAGAGAGCTCGTACGCTTGGTTTTAGAAATTATTTAAAAAAGAAAAAACGAATAACGTAAAATTTAATGCATCCTAATACAACGCGATTACGCATAAGGGTTCCTTGTTGTGTAAGTACGGAACCCTTAAAAGGATGTTAAAGTATTTTTATTTTTATTGATATCCTTTGATGTTTCTTGTTTTTGAAAATATTTCAAAAAAAACGAATATCATAAGATTTAATGACCTGGTAGCGTTAACATGACAACAGTAAAACCAAACCTCTCCGCTTCGCGATCGAGGCGTGCAAAACAATATAAATAACAGAATACAAGAAACGGAATTACTTTTTACATAAACTCACCTTCATACCAGGAATATCTTCGGCGTTCCAAAGCCAACCCATGTTTTTCGGAACAGCCGGATAGGGATATTTTATGTCTGGCTTTTTCTCAACTAGTGGAGCTAAAATAAAATGAAAATAATGATTTTGTTTACTCGCAGATATGCATAATTCACTTCTTATATATTATAACTTATCGTGAAAAGATATAAAAACGTAACCAATAAACGTTTTAATAATGTGCTTTGGGGTAATTCTGACATACTTTGCGATCAGTTGACACGATGCATATTTAATACATTGGTTGGTTTACAACCAACTCGTGTCACTTTTATTTATTGAAATACATATCGTAATTATTTTGTTATTCGTCTGCGTTGCGTAACCACCACGACAGAACACCTTGCGTTTCCGTGGTTGGACAGTTATTAAGCTAGTTAAAGAGGTTTCTTCAAACTTTTGTAACAGTTAAGCGAGAATAAAAAAAAATTATACAGTTGTTTATTATATTTTTAATACGTCAAAAGTATCCGAATTCGGGATTTTTCAAACCTTTAAAAACTCATAACTCCGAAAATATTAACTTTATTGTAAAAAGTCATGGGACCTTTTTTATTTATATTTTGTCAAGGAATATAAAAAATATCGTTTATACATATCTATCGTGAGGATTAAGATGGAATGATTCGTTTCCAGTAAAAAGGGTCTTTGTATGGTGAGTGTAGAGAACCGGTTCTCTACACTCACCATACGAAACACACCAGCATTGAGCTGCTATTTTACGCTGGTATCTTGTGAGAGCGTGGTCCCTCCCCGGGCGAGCCAACCCATTCGTGCTACAAGTATATCAGTAATATAACTACAGCATGGCTCTACCACGTAAAAAACTACTTTTAATATTATAAAAATTTCTCTTCATTGACCTTTCGAAATGCACGAGTATGTGACTCACCCACGAGTCTTGTAATTCCATAGCCGATTCTAGTTACATCGTTAGAAAAGAAGTAAAATACATAGTTGATAAAAGAAATAGTACATACATATTTTTTCTACTTTAGAAATTTCTTTTTTCCGTTTTGCTTTAGGTTTTTTTAAAGACCTTACTTTTATCGCACTTGTTACTTTATTTTCAGATTTTTTGTCGAATTTTCGATCAGATTTTCTATCAGATCTCCTATCAGATCGCCTATCAGATCGCCTATCTGATCGCCTATCAGATCGCCTATCTGATCGTCTGTCATAAAGAGATCTTACTGAACGTGTTATATTCAATTTCCTTTCTGAATTTCCTACTTTAGATGCACCACCGACTTTCGAACTTTTAATGCTTATGTTATCTAGCTGTTTCTCGGGAACTTGTTCTTCAGGCCAAGGGTTTGGTACGTTAATATATTTCTTGTCATACTGTTTATGATATACGGGACAAGGATACGGCTTGGCATGTACAGGCAGGTCTTTTAAGTCGTCTCCTAAGCATTCATACCCTCCACAAACAGCACAATAAGTGGTTTTCTTCGAAAATCTGAAAGTACATTCACAGTCACAATAACAGGGATCCACGGCTTCATCAAACTTTCTTTCACTTTGAGCTCCTTCAACAATAAAATCTTTTACAACGTCAACAACATTACAAGATTTTACGCAACATGGATTACGAATGTCTTCAAAATGTATGACAACATTGCTATCTGCTGGACTTGAATAGTTATTTTGTTCTTCATTTGCACCGTTGATATTACAATTTGGCTTATTTTCTTTTGTATTTGAAGAAAATGAACACGCGCTCTTACTGCAAAATGTTTTTTCCGAATTTTTCATACCAGGACACTGCGACGAACAGTACTGAAAGGTAGAAGATTTATTACTGTTTGCAGGTGACGTAGTGTTAGATTCTTTGTTGAAGTCATATTGCACAAAAAAATAATAAACGTTATAAACTTGTTTCGGTTCAATATTTTCACGAACAAGACAATCCTTCTTATCACAATAATTTGTCCCACTATCACTTGTCTCACAATCTTCACTACAAATCGTTTCACACGATTTTCGCTTTTTAAATGAATTTTGCATTTGTTCTATGCATGCACATTGTGTAGAGAGACCTTCTAATGTGTTACTCTGATTAAATATTCCTTCTCGTCGAAGGAATTGTTGTATTTTTTCAGCTAATGTACATTCCTTGCTTCCACATGGTCCAAATATTTCGTCTATGGTTATTTCTTTTTTATCTTCTTCAACAAGGTTTTCTATATAAGCTCTCATATCTCTTGCTATTCTACAATCATGTCGTCCACAAGGTCCCCTGATATTAGCTATATCGAAACATGTAACATTTGTGTTTGAACGTGCCTCTTTCTCAGTAATTGCACATTTTGGACATGGTTCATTTTGTACCTCTTTTTTAAACCTTTGTGATATTTCATTTTCTGGCCACTTTGTTTCTTTACAGTAACAAAGTCTATCAATATCTGTCGCTTTTATTCGCGGTTTAATTGTGGGTCGCGGTGTTAGCATTCTCATGTTATCATTACATGACGTTATGATCTTCCTTACATAGTCAACTATAAAATCTATATCTGGACATGTTTCTGGTGCCTTATATATTGCGTTAGGGGGCTTATCTGCGTTATTCATACAACAGTAATCTCCATCATTAAATATATTGTATTTAGCCCCGAGGGCGTTTTTGTAATCAGCGTAAATAATTTTGTTTGGTTGTGGTTTATCTTTAACAAAGTTATTTTCAATTTTGTTACAATTTTCTTCAAATATTTCATCGGTTGTTTTCATTGTGCACATGTACGAAGTTGTTTTAGAATTAATGCCTGTGTACAAAACTTTTTTTATTACTGGATCTTCAGAGAGAGTCCGGAAAGCTGCAGTGACTTTGTCTCCTAAGTACGAAAGTTTAACTTGAATTCCAATCTTAGCTATTAATTTTGCCGTACCCTCTTCAAATATATTATATTCTTCATTTAGCGTTACAGACGCTGTGTCCTGACATTTATAAATAGTTTCCAAATATTTTAAAAATATTGGGTCCCACGGTACTGATATAGAACCAATGTAAGACAAGTTTTCTTCTTTACTCCACAGCGATAATTCAAGAGGGAATCTTTTCATATTCTGTGTAAGGAGTTCAGCGCTACATGAAAATAAAACTGACTGCCCCGACTGTATAACAGGTTCAGATGGTGGCGCTTCCACTACTCCCTTTTTCTTCTTTTTTCCTTTTTTAGGCTTCTTTTTTGGTTTGGCCCTTTTTTTCTTTCCTTTTTTACCAGGTGGTTCTGGAGGTAAAGGAAGTGGTTCGGGCATCACTATGTGCATTTGCTTGGGGTCTTTTAGTTCAAGAGAGAATATGTCAGCAAATTCACTTCTTATAATTAAATTTGTACTTTCAATCATAGTCTTAACACTTTGTACGACGACTTCAAAAATAAACATGGTATTGGTTACAGCCATATTTTTTATTGTTTACAATTTTTGGAGTTTTACAAATGCTTAGTTAATTATTAAATAAATTGTTTTTATAAACTTAAAATTTTGGTTTAATAAAATGACATCAAATGTCATAATGACTTCTTTCAAAAATTGACAATGTATTTTTAGTAAGTGACCGCTTTATTCTAGCCAGCAAAATTTTCATATTAAGGCTAGGCACCATATTTTAATATACAATTTTTAATCGAACGACTGTTTTGTTGTTTGTCAAAGTCTATGGGAACGTTTAAAGATTTAAGATTATACGCATATGAACAACTCGTTTGTTGCTCAACATCTAACTCAAAACAACCACATCGATTGATTTTTATTTAATTAGTCGAACAATTATCGACCGATAACTCTCATATTAATTTTGATTTATAATCAACGTTCGAGGTAGGTTTATAGCATACACCATTTATTTACCAAGAAGTGGAATACGTGCTTTTTATCTTCCTTACTTGTATGTTTATTGCCCTCGGATATTATATTATTGCCATGTATACTGGGCTTAGAGTATTCAACTATAATACTCTAAGATACTGGGACGCACATGCGCTCAACTAAATAGTCGATCCGAATCGATTTGATTGTGCGAATTTTGTTCTGTAATATTCAAAAACTCTAACTAGGTACTCTTTCAGCTTATAATGTAATGTATGGAAGTTTCCATTGAGAAATCTGGTTTTGCCTTATGTGAAATTAAGCAATACATACACAAGCGAGGACTTTCTTATTTACCATAGGAATTGTAATTATTACTACTGAGTGGCCAATAAATGACACTAAATTAAAAAGAAAATCGATGACGACTGTATCGACTGTGTTAGGGCTAATACTGAGACCAACAACTAAATAAAGTTATTGTTCTAAAAGTCCAATGTTCGACGCTAGCATCGAATGTAGTATGTTTTGTGTTCTATGCATAGGTATTGTAATTATTCCTACTGAGTGGCCAATAAATGATACTAAATTAAAAAGAAAATCGATGACGACTATATCGACTGTGTTAGGGCTAATACTGAGACCAACAACTAAATAAAGTTATTGTTCTAAAAGTCCAATGTTCGACGCTAGCATCGAATGTAATATGTTTTGTGTTCTATGCATAGGTATTGTAATTATTCCTACTGAATGGCCAATAAATGATACTAAATTAAAAAGAAAATCGATGACGACTGTATCGACTGTGTTAGGGCTAATACTGAGACCAACAACTAAATAAAATTATTGTGCTAAAAGTCCAATGTTCGACGCTAGCATCGAATGTAGTATGTTTTGTGTTCTATGACACGGGCTCTGAGATCTACATGTCTGAGAAATAAGAATAAAATGTTTCAGCCATGTGAAGTTCGCTAACATGCATTGGGGCAGCGCAACGGACACTTCCTTGCCCTAAAACCCTCTCAGAAATGAGAGAAGGACTGTTTGTCAGACAGGCAGGTTTACTAACGATATTATGTTGACTAAAATGAATAAATTCATTTACGCAAAAGGTATCGTCATATTAGGAAAGCCAGATTCATAATAATAATATTGTTTAATTTTGCATGTTTTTTTAAATTTTCTTAGTAATTAATTTAAATCAAATATATTTGCACTTAAGTTGGTTCGTAATTTTTCTTCAAAAAGTTACACGCTAGACTTTTAGTTAATCCACCGTAATTTTATCTAGAAACACCGTATTTTTACCCTTGCAACACGGTAACTCTGTATTTACATAATATGGAGACCACTGAGTACCTTTTACCTGTATAGGACAGTTACTATAACAGAGTACTTTTGTATATAGGAAAGTTACTATATGTACTCTTTGCATAGATCAAGGAGGTTATAATAATATAGATATAAGAAAAATAAAGGATATCAGATGTGGTCATGTGATCTGAAGTCCAGTGTTTCTCAAATATGGCGACGACTCCACCCACAGCAAATAGTGTCGTTTTTGCCGATATTTTCAGTATAGATGCTATATAAGTTATGACGTATTGTCCATCTCATAGGCATATATTAAATCAACAAATATTAGATCACTACACTATTGCATTGGGTTAATCCTGTAGTAATATTTGTATTGAGATAATAAATAAATAAATAAATCTTACGTTCAGCTCAGAATAGGAAAGTTTTAAAACTGTAATTGCTTTAAGATATGGTGAAGCAACAGTCAAAAGTGAGCGAAGAGATCAAGGAAAGAGTACCATGTATTGGAGCTTTAACTCCTTTCTTTTCAGAACACGTATACGACGTGCACCAGAATATTATACTGAGTTCGAGCAACGAGCTAACGTTTTCCCGTACTGACACCAATCTGAACACTGTTAGGCACTCCATCTGTGAGTCCCTGGGCCGACGCATGCATTTTTTTTCTTCTCTGTAGAGATTAACGAAACCACCACTATAGGCAATGTATTATTAGGCTTCGTAGGATTTTTGTCCAGACCATGCTTTCCCACTACTAGGCAGAAGTCTCCCCCAAGTTTTTCCAAGTCGTTTTGTCCTGCACCACATCGAACCAGCCCCCACGGTATGCGTCCAGGTTGCGTGAATTATATTATATATATATAGACTTTATAGCGGCTGGGAAGTTAGTAGCGAGCGCTAGTCCTCCACGCTTCACTTTACGTATAGTGATCTGAGCCACCATCAAGTTTTCTTTCAACTATATCTGCACGGACTAGCGCTCGCACTTAACTTCCGAGCCGCCATAAAGATTTGACATTGACAACACCTTTCTTTCGTCGTAATGGTCGGTTACCAGTTCAAGTTACCATGAACGTGCAGTAGACTACCTTTATCTTAATTTATTTAAAGTTTGTGAAGCATGTGTTCTTTCATACATAGTTACTAGCCGTCATCTCTCTTTTTTATATTTATTATAAAAAAAGAGATAGAGATTGTTTATTTATTTATCTCAGTAATCTAATCGATTTGAGCAGCCCCTTTCTGACCATATCACCGTTCACACAATCCATTAATCATTTAACTATCCTAACTAGTGTTGCCCAAAATCGGTCTTGGTCTTGCAGTCTTGGTCTTGTTCTTGCATTTTTGCAAGACCAAGACCAAGAACAAGACCGCCTCTTTTTAGCAAGACCAAGACCAAGACTGACCGTGCAAGATTTGCGCAAGAACAAGATTTAGCTTGCGAGACTCTTGCGTCTTGCAGTTAGGACTAAGTGTCGTTTCAGGGAGTATAGGAGTTCGGGTATACGCTTAGGGACTCTACGAGACGCAAAAAATATAATGAAAAAAAAAATTGGAAAATTGGACTTATGCGCATTACGAACAATACCATAAATATACATAGCGAATGAAAATATCCATTAAAAGAAAAAAGAGTGCATCCCTAGTTTTGACCATCGGCACTTTGATGGTGCGCGGCGTCTTGTTGTCGGCGTCATCAAAGGTCGGATATTGACCTGTCAAAGAAATTGTGCAGCTATTCGAAAGTACAAGGTCAAGATACAAGTGCCGGCGGCTACTATTGATATCGCATACAATCGTCGCCGCTGCGCCACAAGCACTACATTTGACACTGTTTGATTGCCGCCACAGAGTACATGTTTCAAAGAATAAAATATGTTTCCGGGTGCTCAGAATGGACACGAATACATTATCCTGATCTCGCAAGAAATCTTGTAATTAGATAATAGGTAGGTATCATAATAATTTATTCTAGTAAGTAATTATTATAAAATTAATTATATGGATTTATAATAATTACTTACTATTAGTGTTATTATTATTACCTAAAAGATAAACATGTTCAGTAAGTTCACTGCAAATCTCGACTTTTGCAAGTGTGTGTTTTTGAAACACAAAGTGCTCGAATATGTCGTCACACATTTGATAAATATGGTTGACACCATAGCACTATTAAAACACTTGAAATGTGTAAAAATGGATCTGGATCTTGTCTTCAAGGCTTAGTTATTAAGGAGTTGGAGGGGTACCTAGGTAAACCCAGAGCCGTCATCTCGGAAGACATTTTAGACTGTTGGAGGACGCATGAGACAAAATATCCGATTTTATCGAAGATGGCCCGTGATTTTTTTTTAATACCTGCAACTTCAGTACCTGCTGAGAGATTATTTTCTAAGGCATCATTAGTAATTAGAAAACATAGAAATAGGTTAAGTGATGAGTCAGCCAGATGGTTACTTTGTATTAATGCTTTGTCAAAAGAATGAATATAAAGTAACAGTAACGTCAAAGCTGTTGTGTACATACTGTGAAGTAATTTAATTTGCATCGTATTTTATTTTTTATTTAAATAAATTGTATATTGTATAACTCTTTTATTCCATTTCATATATGGGGAGGGTCCATCAATCTCTTTCTAGAGAGATAATGTTATTTAAAATACAGTGTAGTTATTGCCATTAATTTGTTTTTATATGTATGTTTAACCATGTTTTAGCACATGTAAGCTTATTAAATGTAAACGTTTATTAAGAAACTGACGCCCGTGGCCGTGGGACACTCAGTTGGTTGGAGCATCGGCACGGATCGCTCAGGTCGTGGGTTCAAACCCCAGGTCACCCGGTGTCAGTTGATTTTTCGAATTTCTCATTAAATGTTTAGACATTTATTAATATGGTTGGTCTTTACTATGGCTATGTTAAAACAAGCTCAATATGTACCTACTCTGTTAAGTTGTTCTAAGATATAAAGTAACGTTTAATAAATAGTTATAGGCTAATAGGTAATTGCGAGACTTGCGAGACTCTTGCTGCAAGACCAAGACCAAGACCAAGACTCGGAGCGCAATACCAAGACCAAGAACAAGACCAGGTGTATTGGCGCAAGACCAAGACCAAGACTTGCTAAGTCTCGTCTTGTTCTTGCATTTGGGCAACACTAATCCTAACGTATTCCTCAATCTTCAGCATCACATGTTCATACCATATGACAACCAATTTCCATGCAACATTTCGGTTAATAGCGGTGGCTGCGCCACTTTCATACTTCCACTT